CAAGAGTTTTAAAGGGTACCAGCAAACTGTCATCTTAACCTTGCATAAGGCTATTTGAGGGAGAGTATCAGCTGCAAATGAAGGAGTTCCTTTATCTCAAAAACTGAGCAGGAAATAGACAGGAATGCAGAGCACCAGGCTCTTCCCTCCACTGTTTCTTTCAGCAATAAATACACTTCTTAAAAGTTTTAAAGTGTCAGAGCAGTAATCTACGACAGAGAGAAAAAGTAACAATTATAAATCCCTCCCAAGGCACAGAGGACCTCAGTAGGGTAGGGGTGTTATAAGTGTTACTATTGCCTTGTCAAAGATTGGGGCTTTCAAACACCTGATGCTAGACATACCTTGGCATGGCATTTACGTCTGTAAAACAAAGGGTGACAGCTGTCACAGAGCGTCACATCAAAATGAACATCTACCCGATGAGAACAGTTCCGATAACACACCACACAGCGCCATTTTGAGTATAACCAGCTCCTTGCTGCCATTACTTCCCAGCGCTTTTCACCTGTGCAAAGTTCAACAGCTTTATCATATGAAAATATTGATTCCTCACTCAAAGGATTTGCCACACACAAAACAGTGGGTTTGTGAACAAGTGCCAGCCTCATACACAATGGTTTCCATAAACGTTTGGCATGTGAATTCATAACACGACAAGTTGCCCCTATTGAGGACAGTGCTGGAGCATCTAGGTAAGAGAATAAGAGATTCAGCATCTCAGGAGGTAAGCATCCAAAATACTGTCCTATGCTTTCAATTCCACTTGCTCTTCGCTCACGAAGAAAAAGTCTAGTGATATATCTTGGACTACCACCAACACAACTTGTAAAACAACAATCCTCTGTCTTTCGTTTCTTTGTCCCTGGAGGCATCTTTTTTCCTAGGATCTTGGCTGGAAGCACTGTGGATTGAAAGGTAGATTCGAGTTAACCCTTTAATTCCCATGAGTGATCAAGAAAAAATTTCTCCGTACAATATCAAGCAGACAAGGGATGAGAATGAAGAAAATATTAGTCAAGGGACTATAAGTTGATCCAATACCAAATTCTCCAAACTACCATCACAAGAACTGTATGGCAGACAGTTAGGAGCATTACTAATGAGATCTTGGGAGTTAAAGGGTTAAGTATTTTCCAACAAAAGCCTTCATGAGTTTTGAATGTTTAATCTGATAAATTATTACCAAAACAAACCTGTAAGAATAAGAGTCCTTTAATCCTATGATTACAATCCAGGTATTCAAATCAAATTTCAAGAAAGCTTTTGAACATAATAAATAACATACCTTGATGTAACAAGAGGTTAAGGTGACTTCGCCTTGTTGAACTCACCACTACTAGTTACAAAACCACAGTGCTGTAATTTGAATTTTCGCATTTTTTTTGTAAGCATGTAATTGCCTTTTGACATTTGATCTGTGGAGTCAACAGTTCTCATTTTGTTCAAGTGTGGTTTCAAGGCAAAATCACGTTATTTGAGACAGGTTCGAGTATGCACGACTAATGAGTTATACCAGGGGAATCCCATTCCAAACATGCCACAGGATAGAGTAAGCAGACTGTTTGACCCACCGCAATTTATTGAAAGCAGAGAAAGGAAAACATTTTGAAAATAGTTATCCAGGCACAGCCAAAATGAGCTCTTAAGCAAAGCTGTAGATAAATCAGACGGGGAGTTTATTTATCTGAGCACTTCTGCAACACACGACTAGATTGAGTCCTCGCTGAAGACAGTAGTTCGATCTTTACATTTGCCCAGTGTTGAACAAAAATTGTTTGTTTAAAATCTGAGCGTATATTCTTATTGATATGATAATGCGGTAAACTCCAGGAAGGGCTTGGCCAATTTAGAGGTGATATTTTAAAATTCATGGGTTATTTTTTTTTAGTAAGAACCCTGCAGAAAGGAAATTTGTTTTGATCTCGAAAGATACCCGATACTCACGAAAATTTTAAGAGGGCGACCTACATTCACTGAGCTTGTTAAATATCCATGCAGGAAACTATCGACCCTTTTTACATGGAAGATGGAGAAATTTCTGATCTTCAGCTCGGGTAATATATTCTCTAAGGCAATCGGAGATTCACAATTTACTAACTACTGAAAAATCTGCCGGCTCATGAAGCTAAAGACTATTTCCGCGGCTTCGGAACTTTCAATTTCTCTCGTAAAACGCGCTGTCCTAGTTGTCCAAAATGTTATCAGTTTTCAGCTTTGTAAATGAAAGTTAGACAACGGGCTTGTCGAGTTTTCCTTTGCCGATTTTGACGGAATTATCAATGCCTTGCATTTTACATGTTAGATTAAAAATTGATACCAAATTGCTATGACATGTGGCATTTAAGAATTATGCATGAACAAAACGAATCGAACTTTTGCTCGTCTTCACTGATATAGAAACTAAGCGCAATTAATTAAAAAAAACTTGCAAAGTAAATGCTAGTGATTACGCTCTTTATATATACGTAAAAAAAATACAGCGATTTGGATTTGCAGTTGTTTCGACATCAACGCTTTCCATCTCACCTCAACGCCTCGAAGATTTTCTTACAATAACAATGAACGCTCGGGAAATTTCTGCAAGCAAAAGCCGGTTCTCTCTTGTATTTTTTGCCCTTCTTGACTTATATTCTTCCACTTTAGAGTAAGAGGGAGATTTATCACTATATTTTTACCAACAAAACATCTAAAAATCGAGCAAACTTGCCAATAAATTTCCAGCTTTGTTGTAGAACATGTAAATATGCATTAGATCGCCCACAAAGAACTCAAAACCATAACGGAGAATTACTCGGATTTTTCTTTGATTATAAAGTAAAACTCGTTCTCGGTCATAGAGCTTAAAGCGTGTTTCATCGAAGTTGCGAAACCATCAACACAAATATCAGATGAGCTAAATTCGAGCAACATTAACCTCACTAAGGTAATCCATGGCTCCACGAATTACTTAGCGGAAACTGTACACTGCTATATTTATAATATTCCATGAGGTTTTTTCAAGCGATCAGATGCTAGGCATGAAGGAAAATTTCTTCTTGAAATAAAAACAGAACCCTTTTCCTGTTAGATCGCTGTTTGTTGAAGATTTTTTTTCCCAGAAGGAATGAGCCATTTTTGGTGTTACAATACAGGCAAATAATTCTCGGCTCTGATCCCTTAGGTTAAACAGCTCGCCCCGTTAACTTCCAAAACTAGTCGATAAGCGGTTATAAAAACTTACCAGTTGCTTCTCTTGATCTTCAATAAGGAGACACGTTCGGAAAGTTATTCCTGAAGACAAGAAATGGTCGAAACAACGCCGACAACTCGCTCCTCGAAGAAATTTCACTGTCACTAAATCTGACTTTCATCAACCGCGAATATTTAAATACCCTTTACGTCTCATGTGTCCTATTAACTGATGACCAATCACGATGTAGGAAATTTGCATCCGGACCAATCAGATGGTGAGAAACATATTTGAAACAGAGGTGCTAACATGAATGCTCACGTGCATGGAACAAAAGATCTCTCTCAAATACCCGAAGACAATAGATCTTCTGATCTCACACAGCAAACTTTATTGTATTAACATTAGCATAACCTATTAAGGCATGTAAATCAATTCAAATACTTTGAAAAGTAAATTCAAGGCTATTGTTGTTTATATTAAGTCTACACTGTAATTTTTCACGCCATAGAAACGCACGTAAAGGTGTTAGCTTTGTTTTCTTTAAGGTTGTCTTTGCGGTTTTTCTCTTCTCCACAAGAATGGACAAACCCAAGCAAAAACTGACAAACGGAATATTTAGTTTCAAAATTAACATTTCTATGAGGAAGGAAACTTGTTGAGTATTTGGCTACAGTCTTCAACAGAGTTTTGAGATAGTCCGATATGCAAGATTCTCTGTAATTAACAAAATCTTAAACGTAGCGAGCGATATTGCAATAAACATGGAAATGTAAGGAAGAAACTTTACACAGACCCAACAATTACTGATCTCTTAAACAAGAACTCGTAATAAAGTTTGCATTCGCTAGTTCCGTTCTTTCGCATTTCCTCACCAGAAAGTGCAAAAGTCATCTATAAACATACAATTTTTCTTTTTCGAACTGCGTGTTGCAGCAAGATTTTTTTTTTATACTTAAGTATATAGTTTCAAATTGTCTTTTTCGTGTTGCCTTTATAGACGTGTCGTCTCTATTTACTTAACAAATATTTTTACAAAGTAGCACAGAAACGATCTCTACCTCCCTTGAGAAAATTGCAATTTCCCGGTCTTTTGTGCTAGGAACCACGCAATTCTTTGAAAATCTTGCTTTTCCCTAAGCGATATCCCATTGATATCCTCAAGTAACTAAATTAGATGTTAAGAATACCTTTACGTCAAATTTCCCTCAAACATGAAAAGCTCTACGAGATTTTTTTCAGTTAATCTGCAATTAACGTCAGGAAGTGAAATAAAATTTAAAAGTTCCTCCACCTCCCAAGAATTTATTGGCCATGCTTCTGCTCTACGCAAGCGCGGTGAAATTTACGGACAGAGTTCAAATTAAGACTGCCAGCGTTAGGCCTATTCCTTCAAAAGCGAACAAAGGCTTAAATTTGCATTCTTAAACTTTGCAGTAGGAGCTAATATAAAAGAAAAACAGGTACCGAAAAGGAAAAAGCTCCGGTAGGTTTTCTTCACTCGATGGCTAAACAATGTCATGTAATTGTTTATTTCCGAAGCACGACTATGAAATCTATACATGTAACAAACTTTACCGCAAAAAATGAAATCATGACTTAAAATGCAACGTGGGATGTAACAGTACGTGATGTTTGCATACGTTGAAAATCCAGATCCCGGCGTGGAACAATTAAGATACCGGAATTTAAAACCTTTTTTTTTTCATTTCTGGCGCAATAGTTGTATTGTGAAGGATATGTTTTTCCTCTTATATCTCAAGAACGTTTGGCCTTCCCAGATGCCAAATTTGTCATAGTTTTGTATACATATGTTTAAAAAAAAGTTATTAACGCCATCAAACGACGCGGTTTCGATCTTTCCCTTCAAATTGCGCATGGTTACCTCACGAATTCTGAGCTAATCTCGTTGATCAACACACTCCAACGCAGTTCTGTTACGAGATTCAAAAGTTTGTCACTTTCCGTATTTATGCTGGTCAGGTTTTTTCTTTTTATTCTCGTATGTGATAGCAGCTTCTGTGTTGCTTTCCTTTCCATTTTCTTTCTCTACAATGGCGGCAAATTTCACACTAAAAATGAAAGTTGAACTTGAATAAAGGATGAGGTCATATCCAAACTATGTTTCCTATGATAATTAAATTCTAGTTTCAAACCACAAAAAGTAATCACTTAAATGTTTTTTTTTTTTTTGCAGAGAGGAAGTCTTAGACATGAAAAATTTCAACTATACTAATTAGATTAGATATCAGTCAAACTGCGGAGAAAAGTTCGACAGCGAAACGGTCTACAAGTTTTCAATTTGTGTTTCTATCCTCCTTTCTTGAAAGAGACGAAATAAAGAAGTGTGAGGTGGAAAACTAAAATTCTTTGTTCCATTTTCCAAGAAGCGGATTGCGAACGACAGTTCGTAATCGCAACCTTTAGAAATACATAATATTACTAACCCTGTCATTCTGCACTTTCCAGTTGATTTACGCAATTTGAGTATAAATTCATAGCTTAGCTTAGAGTAGGTCCTCATTACAAGACTGCAGGACGCGCGTTTTTAATGCGGCGTAAACGAAGATTTGATACAAGTGGAGGAGAGGTTTGCAGACCTCTAGCAGGCTTGCGTTGCTAAGGGCCTCATGATCATACTCTCTCTTTCGGGCAAAGAAACGCTTTGAGTTGAAAGGCTAATAATCGCTTGTCATTTATCGGTCACAAGTCATTTGAGATCAAATTCCCCAACGGGTAACGGAGAGCCCAAGTTAAACTTTCCTCGCCCCCATTGTGTGGCCTCGTGGCTCAGTTGGGTAATGGCGCTTATCATTGGGGAGGAATACGTTGTGTTTTGTCCAAGCCTGATTTTTTCCGACTTCTTCCACTACAGTTACTTTTCCTGTACTTATCTAACGAAGATCGTTTCGTCGAGGTTAACTAATCCACAAATGCAAATATCAATTTTGAATTCCTTTTCATGAAACAAAAAACCCACGCAAACCTTTTCTTCATTCATTAAATTGTGGCATCGTATTTTCGTAGATAACAGCGCGGCCACCCACTGAGTAAAAGGCACCAGTTCAGTTCCCTTTTTAGCTTACCAGTTCGGTTTCCATGCTGAGTTAAGGAATGATCTAAGCATCTCGGTCCATTTTCCATTTCTACAATTCCTTTAATAGCATGCATTTCACTTACGAGGATTAATTCGTCGCCTACTCCTTCCAGCTAGCGCGTAAACTCACAAGAGTTGTCGAGCTGCAAATGCGTCGAGCCTACGAGAACGTTTTCACCAGAGCTGCAGCACGAACGGTGAAATTTGTAGATGCGAGCAGACCGCTTGCTAATCACACACCACACGCTCCTATCAAGTGCACGCTTCGCTCACAGTCTCGTATCATGTGAGCTTCGCGGCTCACACCGGGCGCACGAGCGCCTTCTCAATGGCTAAAGTCTTAGTAAAGACCAGTATAGGCGGAGGGAATATAGCCCAAAGCCCTTTCAAAAGACCAATCAAAAGAGAGGTTTACGAGACGACTTGCTGTGCTTTTTGTCACGCTACTCAAACACAGTAAACAGAAGTTTAAAATGATGAGATATTTGAGGAGATTACTCGCCTTAGTGAGAGAATTCAAGCCTTGATATATTTCGTACTCTTCTTCCCTTTTAGTCGCTTAACAAATAAAGCGGACCTCGTGATCGAATATCCATGGCAAAATCTGGAACAACGCCTAGATTTTAAGTTGGGATCGTTTGATTGACTTTTCGTGCTGTGGAGTGTTTTTGTGGTGTTTCACTTCCGGTTCGTTGCGGTGAGGCAAATATTGATTTCAAGACATCATATCATTTTAGCCAGGAATAAGCGAGCGACAGTAAAATTAAAACTAGGAATTCGGAGAGGCGCACCGATGCTAAGAAAGAACAGTTTACCTGAAGCCTTGTTTCCGCAATGGGCTTTGCCTTTATGAATTGTATTCAAACTCTTCAACGTATGACGGAAAATGTGATTCACGCTTGAAGTACCGCACTCGACGTGAGCAGAATTCTATTTTTTACAAAGAGCATTGCGTAACAAATGAACCTCATCATTTTTCCGGAAACACTTAGATCTGCTTGAATGATAAGTAAGCTCTTTACAAAGAAAGCGAATTTACCGTCACGTAACACGCTCCATTTGTATCGCTTAAAACCAGCGTGGGTCGATTTCCCGGGTTGTCAACTAAGTTCGCTCGAAAGAATACATTTTTTTGTAGGTTTATGGGACTTTACATATAAAACGTGATTTGCCTTTGAGTTCAAATGTTTTCTCAGGCTCTTAACTTTTTAATTGCTATTCGAAAATTGGGACAACGCCCTCTCGTCATAAGTAAACAATCAATAGACTTCCTGTTATTAGACAAGCCACCCGCCCTCTTTTGTTCAGTAATGATAATGAATGTACTTTCTGATTGGTTCCTGGTCGTGCATTTTTTTTATACAGATATAAAACCGCTTTGAAATGAGGAGCCATAGAACAAAAAAAAAGAAAGAAAAAAAACGCTACAGGTTAGTTTGATGCAATCCATTTCATAATTGGTTTTTGTCTTTGAGCTGTTGATATCAAGGTACAAATTCTGTGAACAATTATCCAACTCATGTCTGCGATCCTGGTACCGGATCACGTCGTCTATTTGATTTTCGTCGTATGGTTGCTTTCCTGAGAATTTTTGTCCATTGAAAAACTTTCAGAAATGTTGTAAATCAAGTTCCACTCTGAATTACAGAAAGATAAAAAAATGAATTTAAAACTAATACCTGAGTCAACTTAGTCCTTTATGAGGCGTATGTCAAGTAATAGGCTCCTGCGTATGTAATATTCCCCCATGATGCACTTCGACGAGTAAAACTGAATTTAAATCTTTTCCGTCGTGTTCCTCACACAACGGGTGTATGAAACTATCCCGGTACTCTCAAATAAGACTACGAGTAGTCCCTTCTTTTGGCCAAGTCCGTCGTGCTAATGAAAAAAGATCAGTCACCAAAAATAATTCATGTTAGTACGTCGCGCTTTACCATGGGAGTGAGGGACACGATAATTCAGCGCGACACGCTAACATCAATTGTCTTTTTCTCTAACTTTTTTTTAATAGTACGCACGTCTTCGCCTAAAAGGAAGAACTGTTCGTAGACTACGCTCTGATAACATCCATCGACATCCTGTGGTAAGGTGGATTGCCAGCTCTGATCACCCCCCCCCCCCCCCCCCC